TCCGAAAACAAATTGATGAATTAAAAACCTTTTTCTTCCAATCCAACTACCCTAAAACTATGGTAGATAACATCAGTGAAAAAGTCAAAGGCTTTGAAAGATGCCTCAAACCACTGGACAACTCAAACAGCAATGTCCTGGTCCCAAAGTCTCCAGAACCAGCAGTCCGCGTTATTTCAACATTTGGCAGCGATCAAGAGTTAGTAGAATCGGTAAAAAGATTGGAACCAGAACTCAGTAGAACCAGGAGCTTCTCAGGATTATCTGGTTCCCATACAAGTGGAAACACCCCAGGCTCCCCAATATCATCTAGAGCCGGTACATCACGCCCTATCTTCAAATTCGTCAGACGTACTGGAACATCATTTAGAAGGAAGTTAGTCAAAGCAAAACAATTTGTGGATGACTTAACCCAACCTCACACAAGACCATGTGGGGGCAGACACTGCGGTACCTGTAACATCATATCTCCACATCCATCAATAACAGTCAATGGACAGCGAGCCAAAGCAGTGTCTGGTACATGTGTCAGCTACAATGTTGTATACATCTTCAGTTGCCAACTTTGTAATATGTGTTATGTAGGAAGAACGGTGCAGCCCCTAAGGGCACGAGTAAACGAACATCGCGCCCATTACTACAAACTCATTTCGGACAATACGTTTGTCCCTGAAGAAAACGACGAAGGATTCAGCTTGGGTAAACACCTTGTAGAAGTTCATAACATGAAACAACGTGACAATTTCAACCAGGCTTATAAAGTGTCAATTCTCAGTAATAGTAGCCCAAGAACTCTAGAAGTGGATGAACACCGTTATATTCAGAAACTAAGAACTATACGTCCATTGGGGCTCAATGCCATGGACCCGTTTGGGATTCCATTATTGGATTTATCTTAAAGGTTTTCCATTGCATTGGGGCACAAGAGTTATGTTTTTAAAAATATTCATATCGTTTTTAGTTGTGTCATTTCATTTCCAATGTTACACTTTGTAGGAACTGATATTAACCGAGTTTCTGATTCAGGATGTTACTGAAGATAGTAATGAAAATGTTTTAACACCTCAGTGCTGTGTTTTACTACAGCTCAACCTGCTCAGTCTGACTATTTGGGAATTTAAACTCTTGAGTATGACATTCATTATACAAGGTGATGTCATAAGGCCTGTCGTGATATTGTTGATCAAATTAATTCCATCGGGATCTGGCAGTACTGATGTCATATGGTTGAGACTTGGCTCATTCTGCCGAACACTATTGCATGAAATTATGTCATAAAAGGACCACATGTTTTTCCGATTATCGAAAAATGGTTTCATATTATCAGTTATAATTGCACCTTTGCATTTCTTATATTATGTTATGATTCACCCAAATATTGATGGTGTTATTTATAAAAATGAACTCACAAACAGGGCCTTTCATACCAATAATCAATTTACCAGTCATCTTTCCCATCTTATCTCTTCTTATGGAGAACATAGTTATGAATTCAATTAAGCAACTAGTTCAGAACTAAGCCCGATCTACGCCCGATGTTCCTCTCCATATGTCCCTGTCTCGCATCAGGGCATTCAAGTACTTTTTCGATTTTGTCCTAGCTAACTTCAGTAATCAACATAGACAAATAGCTTTGTGATTCCCATATTATAACTAAATCACCGACTCGCAGCTAAGCGTAGTATATATACTCTGTAGGGCTAGAAGACTTCAATTACTAACGCAGTAAAATAGATATTTTTCTGAGCAAGAAAATTGTATTAAAATCGTACCTTCAACTGCAATACAAGATTTCAGGAGCTTCCAAATTTGGGAATCCGGCATCCGCACTCTACAGATATAATCCTTAAATTAACGACAAGGAAACGCTAACATAATGAAACACCACTCCTCAGCCCCAGTAAATTTTTGAGAAAATTGAAGTATTTTGCACATTGTCCGGCACCCTGAGCACAGAAGTACCCTGTTCTTAGAAACATAATATTTAAGTCACTATTGTGACGGTACATTAGAACCAGACAGAAACAAAGTGTGAAGGGCCTGAACCCCTCGGTATGTGAACTTTTTTGGTAATATTCTCAGGGCTATTGGCAGGGGAGACTTAGCCTGCCCTGCTTCTTAACTACGTGGCTGTTTGGATAGAGTTAACGACGATTCTAATCATGCCTGGATTGACAATTGCCACATATGAAGGTATAATTGTCCAATTTTATTGTCTTCAATCAACAAATTTATTGAGTTTATTGCCCTATTTTGAATTCTGAACATTTTTGTTCAATCAAAATATTTGATGATGTCAGTCAGGCTTCCTCCCAGTCCTTCGGCATTTGAAAACCTCATCCCTCTCCCTATTCCTCCCTCCCCCTCCTCCGCCCATTTGCTGACGTCAAATGGGAACGATCCCCGATTAGCGTTGCAGATTTTGCATACCAATGATCACCTTAAACTAATTTGAACAAGACTTGTGGTAGAAATGATAGCAGAGGGATCTATAGATATTGAATTATAGCTTTCGAAAATTGGCTGAAATCGAGTTACGAGATCGTTGTTTTTCATATTATGTCATTTTATTTGTTGCGAAAATCATCGATAGCGAAGAAAGTGACGAAGTCCCTTCCTGGTTAAATCTGCATATAGCTAAAGACCCTTCCATGACAAATCAAGACCAATCAAAAAACTGCTTAATCAGATACGATAATTGCATCTTGTTAATCATGAAATCCTAATTTGTGAGCGTCAGATCATATAGACTTATAGTCATCTATATTATATAGAGTTACAAATTATACCGGTAGATTATTATTTCTGTGTTTCAACACAGCAAAATATGGCCGACCGAATTATCTGTTTATTGTTTACTATATTATGATAATCTTATTTAATTCCCATGAATTAAATTTAAGGAATTGCGCGAGAAGATGAACTAAGGTAAAGATGAGGAAATAAAACGATGTGTAATGTTTTAGGCTTAAGGTTAGTTAGGCAATAGGCATAAGGTTTATTAATATTAGGAGTTAATTCATTAAGTGACATTGAATCATGAGATTTGGAACCATGATAACATTGATCAATTGTTCAGACAATCTATACGAACAACAGCTCATGAGGGTAAAGTAAATATGTCTACGAACATACTGATAGTAAAAAACTTATACAGAGGATACCACAATGCTGGCAACATGCCGCCACCTCTAAGTCGCCCACAAAACGCCACTGATCTGCAAAATTTTGCCACTACTCGATAGATCTAAAGAAGTAAAGTGATTTGAACCTCATTCTGTTCGATAACCATAATATGCCAGAACCACGTGCCTAAGAATAACTTGTTCACTTGAATAACCGTGAAAATGTCTGGAATCTACGAAAAAATACTCATTGTACACAATAGCATAAAATGTAAAATGTAAAATGTTTTGAAATAACCATTTATAAACTGAAGCTATACTTTGAGCTCATTCCTCAACCAATAATTTCCCGCTTTAATCGGAAGCCCCGATCTGGTTGTTTGATATTTCGTCCTGAAATAGTATACGTAGAAAAAAGTAAGGGATTTAATTGTCCTTTTCTAGTTTTTGATAGTGTCAAACTCCAAAAAATTCATTGGGCATTGAAACTGCTATGTTATCGCCAATCGCAATGCAGGTTAAAAGATCATAGTACCCTACTACCAGTTAAAAGATCAATACAACGTTGGCAAAGAATACAAAACGTTTTACAGCAATTTCTATTCCCTCTTCTTGCTTTAGATCGATAAAATTGAAAAGTAAATGTGATGAAGATGTCACACGTAGTGTCAGTGACAATTGACATGCAGGAACATCTGTATCAGTTAATAGTCAAGAGATCAATAGTGATAAAGTTGATTAAAGTGCTGGAGTATTGTTATATCAGAATCTTATAATGTATACGAAGTTTTCGTTGAATGATGATCATTTTACAACAAGACATACAGCTAACAAGGAACGGTTTCTTTTTACCAGAAATTATTATGTCTAGATCGGTTGTTGGATTTTCGACTGTAACTGGATCCCTCGCCAGTCAATAAAGACAAAAGACTAAAAGACTAAGGGCTTACAGTTACCATGCCCCATTATTGAGGAAGCGACAATTTTTCACTTCGAACGTAATTTTACAAAGGAAGGGATCATGATTATAAAATTTAAAACTAATTAACAAACTATTCGGCCATAAAGTGGTGCGGTTTGTGCAACTTTAACTTAATAACGACTCCATTCCAACGGAGAATTCTAGTAAGCTGGTAAATCCTGTTTCTTGTTCAGTGAATTTATGACTTAAATAGCGCAGATTCTAGCAACGACCACCATATAAGCATAAGATCATTGGATGGTTTCCATGCTAATGCTGATATCATAAAGTTGTAGAATTACGATTAGTCTTCCCGATTCACCGTTTTTAAAATCTTCTGATTTGTCAACTCGGATGCTGAACTGCCGCCTTAAATAAGCAAGTCAGTGTTTATAAGTTGTGAAGCTCAAGGGTCGACCGAGTCCTCGGCCTCGGTTTTACCGAGGAATAGCGATTTTTCCTCGGCCTCGGTCAGGAGGAGAATTCCTCGGTGTGCCTCGGCCACGGTTTTATCAAAGCAAAATTTCCTCGGCCTCGGTCGCAAATCCTGCCCTCGGTCGACCCTTGGTGAAGCTCAGCTTTTATGGTTCTTTTCGGTTGGTTGGTTGGTTTCCAACGGTTGGAACTACGTAGTACGAATGTACAATGTACTTACTAACATAACATTTACTAGGGGTTCTATGAACAATGAACATACAGCAAATTATTTGATGCTGTGTTTTGGCAACTTCCTAATAAACATTTATATTTGGGAGAGGGAGGGGAGATTGGAGGGAAGGAGGGAGGAAGAGAGGTGACCCAAATGTTGGCTGTAAAAACTCTCCAAATGAATAAGTAAAAAACTTCTTATTCATTTTATCATTTAGGTAGCTGTTTTCATACGCTATTACGACTGAACATCTATTTTCTTGCAGGTAACAAACGAAAGATGGGGGCGATATAGATCGATTGACGAAAATGTGGAGTTGCCGGCTCCTCTGCTCCTCAGTGCTAGACCAAGGGGTTCCTTGGACCCTAGTCCTCCTGGAGCTAACCCCCTTAGTATCGACCCTCTACCTCCTATCACCAGAGCGAGCTGCACTTCCATAGAAGAGGGACCCTCTCGTGAGTAGAAAAAACGGGTTCATTAATTTTTAGTTTAATAGCTTATATAGGGTTAATTAAAATCGTCCATTTCACATCAAGATAACGCGATTAACCATTGTACTGTGTATCATTCAGGTCCTAAAAATTTCACGATTAACATAGCATTAGCACAGGTTGAACTATCGTGGTAAAATACAGGGGGCCAAAATTCAGTTTACACACGTTTGTCTTTATAGCTCGGTCACTGAATGCTTGATTGAGATAATTCTGGTATGACTTATTATCTCCACTCATTCGTGGAATATATCAAATCAAAGAATATTAAAGTTCATTTCTTTCGAATGAAGGTTCGTTTTCGCATTTATTTGATACTTTGAATAATCGGATCGAGCCAAATTGTATTGAATTGTGTTTGGCCATACAAATTACCTTGGCTCTGAAAAAATGAGAGTTTTAGCTTCTCGGATGACCGAGATATGAAGCATAACGAGTTTATTAATTACGTGTGATCAAGTGATCTGCTTACCTGATCACGTGACCCCGCTAAATTGTGAAGACAGCTCAATTAAGGTGTCGCGTCACAGTTAGGTTTACACTTTTATCGTACACATCACATTTTCTAATTAATTAGTAAATTAAGATATTATCTCAATTTACATCCTGATCTAGACTGTTTTAATTTGCACGCACCTGGATAAAGAGACTGCAATATTTCTTGTTTTAGGTGAACTTTCAGGACTGCTGTCTGTGCGGATGAATATTCGTCTCTAACATTCTAGATTAAAATATAATAATATTATTTCTAACTGATCGGTTGCGATCAATTTTTGATCGTTTTGTTCGTGCCTGGCAGAATATTCGGAACTTTCTGAAAATCGCAAAATTTCACGAAATGATCTTTTCCGGCTGCGCTACATCTAGTTCTACTAATGACTATATCGACTTGATTTTCAACACTACTTCCGTTATTTAAATTTAATGAAATCCTTCCACAATCAAATAATGAGGGCCGTTTATCAATTTACAACTGAAAAGTCTTTCCCTTCTCCGATATTGTATGGGTCCTTTTCACAACATTGCACAATCGTGCCTTTCAAGTGAGAAAGTGGACTGCATTTTACAATTGTCTTTCAGTGCCAAGTTTGTATGTGGTTATCTGATTATCATGTGTACAAAATGAGCTGATTTTGTTCGATCTTCACACGTACCCCAGTACTACAAGAAAGAGCTGAAGTTTATCGGAAGATCAAATACATTATTCAGAAACAGTCTATGTCTACCAGGAAGCAGAATAGCTTTAAGTTTAACATGGCAGAGAGGCGAGAATCCGGATGCATCATTGTGTTATTCAACCGGAAGTTCCGGGTCAGGAATGTAAATTTAGACAAAATTATATCAAAGTACTTAGACTTATTTCACGCCAGGCACTTCCTCATCCTGAGACGTCATTTTTGTTGTTTTCGGGTAATCACTTCCCGGAAAAGGATCCTGGAAAATTTACGATGACAGAATGCTCAGGGTATCATGAACTAGTGGGATCATTGATCTGATTTCGTTGCGACGAGGAAACAAATTCGATTCCAACGCTGATACCACGCGTATATAAGCAGCGCGTTGGATCACTCACCATCACTTATTATCAACGCAGTTTGAATAATTTCTTAGTTTGAATATTCCATCTTTACTCAGTTGTGAAAGCCAGAGGTAATTATTTTTAAGCTTGTTTTTAACACGTTCTAGCCGTGAGATTCTACTTTTTGCATTCACTAATTACAAGCCAACCGTACCGTAACGGTCTTCATACCACTTAATAGCATTTTAAACCCTGATTTCTATCTAGCTATTATTTCTAGCTTCATATCATTTAATAGTAATATGAATATCGGTTTAAAACGTCACTAGATTATTGACCATTTTATATTTCAGAAGAACCGGATCGAAACATGTCTTACGAAAGTAGCTTTAACGTAGCAGCCCTACCCGGACAGAGAGAATGCTCCAAACTGGTAAGCATTGTTTTATCTTTTTTGTGCTAGGACAGGATATCGTTAAATTTAAGAAATAGAATAGAAGATGATACACAATATCATTATCAAGTAGCTACAATTTTATTGTGGCCTTTTTATCTGAACCAAACCGACATTTTACAAATTTTCTCAGCACCAAGTTAGCAGCCATCATTTAGTTTCATATTACGAAATTTAGATCTCAACTTCCTTACTCTTGGTACCAAAAATTTGGATTCAATTTAACTTGTTAGCGAAGATAATCTGTCAAGCATCGGTAATAAAGAATAGCTAAGCAGTTTATTAGGATGTGAATAATTGTGGTGAACAAAATATTTCGTCCTTCAAATTTGTATCCAGTAAGGTAGATACATTTTATTAAGATGTGAATATATGAACAGTCCTTCTAGAATATTTAGCAGTTGCTTTCGTTTACGTGACAGCATTCCTTTTATTATTACTGTAGCACCAGGTACCAGTTCACCACTGACCGCTTCAGTTTACCGATCCCTGTTTACAGAGCTGTGCCGTCTTGTACCATTCTGCCATTATTTATTTTCTAGATCTTATTTGAAAGCTATACTGAAAATAGTTGCCACGAATGCATCCTGTCAAAGGCCTCCGCAAAGTTATTTTAAAACCACTTGCGGCGACGTTAGGCTCCCGTAACTCCACATAAAATAGCTTGAGAGAATAGACCTGGCCATTAATTGAATAAGAGCATGATCGGGTGCCTAGTTTTATTAAGTAGTAGTATCACATTATTAACCGCAATCCGGTCCTGCGGTTTTCTTGCACAAACTTCTGCGAATTTTGCAACGTTGATAATTAATTTAGAATGACTAATAGATATTAATACAAGGCTATAGTAGTCCCGCACAAATTGAAATTTGTAATATTTTAAACTGAAATAACTCTGAAATTCGACGCGACATAAAGGCTTGATAGCTTTGAAACAAAAACATTGTCTCTTTGTTCACCGATAAATTCCTTGAAAACAGGCAGTGTTTGATATAACTGGGGCGTTAACAGGACAATATTTACTAAAATATCGAGGTAGACAACGAACCACCTCCAGACTGACAAATAAATTCTGAGAAAGACGTGTAAACCATTTAACCATAACTTAGAAAGTTGAGGAAGTGCCCTTTTTGTCCACCCTGTACCCATTCTTTCAGCTGCTCAGTTGTTCAAAGTACCCCTTGTATCCACCGCTTTAAACTTTCCGGTTTCAATTGTCAGCTCTGGAGCTACAGTTCACCGTCACGCTGTATTTCCTGAACTTCTTCTCCTCCATTTTTATAGATTAACACAAAAATTAAATTTTCTGAACAGCTAGGAAGTTTAAGGTATCGTTCCATGTTAGGTGTACCTACAATAAGACAATTATTTAAGCCTTAAAGTTAATCAGAGTGGTAAGAGCCATTGGTCTCAATTCATGAAGTCACGACCTCTTATTCCTCGACAAATTTATGTCGAGTCATCTGTTGCCCACTACACGTCAAATTATCGCCATTCTAACACTGCCTTTAGATCTTTATTTAATTTCCGGCCATTTGGTAGAACTTTCCGGTTTGTAACTTTCTCAACCCGGACAATGACCTCCAGAGGAATCAATATCATATGATTATAAAACTATACGTCCGTTTTACAGAAAGTTTCATTCATTAACTCATCAAATATCCTTCATAATGTTCTTTTGACGAAAACTCGGCAAGTTATGACCTCACTCTAGAATAGATAACTCTCCATTTCTCCATTCAAATTTGTCAAAGGAATGAGCTGATTCATTCTTCACGATATCTTAATTATATTTCCACCCGCAGTGAAATATCCTGCTAATGATCTGAAATAGCATTTGTCTCAGCTTCCTGGTAATGGGAAAATTAGATCAGAAAATTGCTAAAATTTTTCATCCAGCTCTGAACCTGTACTAATCGGACTTGAACAAATTTTAACATTTTAGCACAATCCCTGGCCTGCGAAATTTGTTACGGAAGATTCTTAAATTTCTGCATAATCGGAAAATATCTTCTGCATACAGTCTTGTAAATAAATTTGTTCTGCAAGCTGCAATTTCTGCAAATTTAAATAAACTTTAACCGAGTTAAAGCAGAGTTTTAACGTCACAAGAGTTTTAACGTCACCAGAGTTTTAACCATGCCCCCAATGCTAGAACAAATTGATCGAATGAAATTCGTTTCAACCATATTTGAACTCACACTATTATTTCAAAATTAACTTCGAATTTCTACTGCTGTTAAAATTCAAGCCCATCAATGTTTTTTAACGACGAGTCTACAGAAGCTTTCATCTTACTATACAAATTTGGCTGCGGTGGTAGAAATCTTAAACTTATAACGCACGCAAGGGATAAAATGATTTTGGAATTCTGCTCGTACCTGGATAATTTCTGGAATCCCCGCAGCTTGGAGAGGAGCTGATTTATCAGCGCTGTTGTGAGGTGCGGGAGAAAGCTCTTCTCAGAAAGGCATGTTCAGAGCTACCCACTTTTTACCCAATATTTTTTCTCTTAAATTGAGTCCAAACAGAAATTTAAAATTGGCCTGAACATTCCATTTATTTTTAAATAAGTCCAGTAAGACCGCTTAGTTAAAGGCGGAAAGGCATGTTTAAAACTCACATACTGTGACGTAAGCATGACTAACTGCTTCTCACGTTATATTTCCATTGTATAATGGAACAAAGGTTAGATCATTTTACAAAACACAAAACAGTAGAGGAAGCTATTTTTATCACGTGAGATGAAAGAATGGCCAAGAACAATAAACTTATAATTAAAGTTCGCCCATCTGCCTTAATATATTTTTTTTTCATTGGTCGAGTGTCTAGTGGCCGATTGTCTGGCGGCCTACGTAAAATTGGATGTCTGTTGTTAGATACCAGATTTTGAACTTAAGATCCAATATTACTTTTGTATAAATCTTAACACATTCGTGGGTAGTTTCTCCAACCTGTTCCACTGGCCAAAACGAAGTTTTGTCCTTGATTTCCATTTCTCATCGTGTTAGATCAATAAAATGATCCCTCGTAAAATCTAGTGTTGGGATAAATGGCCAGTTCCGTGTTTCCAAAGTGAGAAATTTTAAAACTAAAGAGCGACAGCACGTACAAGAAAATTCTGGAGACTTCCTCATAATATCACCGTAACTAGAATAGCGGGTTTTACATTTTGTTTTAAAAAAGCTGTTTGAATAAGAAAAACTCATGTAGCCATGAAGTCGCAATCACCATCCTGCCAAACTTAGTCGTGAGAATCCAAATTCAAAACTGCAATCTTCGTAACAGTAACACGTTTACGGTCCCAGGCATACTGTTCCAGGCAAGTTCAGGGAAGTTTATTGCCTTTACACCCCGTCAAAGGGGGTTTTGTTTTTGTTAAACGTGAGTGACAAATGAATCCGGTAGTACGTGGTAACTTGATTTTTTACAGCCTTCTCTCGGGACCCCGTACAACTTTAGGACGGCCCAAAATCTTAACAGCTTTCCAAGGGTGAATACTATTAATTAATCTGTCCAAGTGTGTAATAATGTTTTTGGGCCTGCCACGTTTATTTCTAAAGAACACTGGTGATCTCGGTTAATTCATCATGTCTCCTTTTAACGAGAATTTATCACGCGCTTATCTTTTATTACTTTATACGTAGCGTTACATCTCGTTGTAAGTAAATCGAAAAATCCCACTGGTGATCTTAGAAATATCGATCTCGAACCGTTTCGTAATAGTATATGACAAGGTACAAACTAAAAGCCCAAGGTTGCTCGACGAATTGGAAACCTCGTCCTCTTCCGCAACTCTCCAATTTACCTTGCGCTCAATTGGTATAACTATAAATAGAAAACTTTCCGGGAACAAATGGCTCAGAAATTAAATTCTATTTGCTAGGTTTAAATTTCCGGCAGTAAGTTGGCCCCGTCTTAATATTTGCCGGGACCGACGTTTTGTATGTCACTACAAGTGTATATGCTTTAAAGATTTAGTCATCACGTTCACAAGTATTCCCAATCGGGGTAAACACTCTGTATAGTATTGTGATGGTATTTAGTAACAAATACCAATCAAGTTCAGCTGTCATCCTTACATGCCGCACGGTGTAACATTTAAAGTGTGTTAGCATTGTACAAAGACACACGTGACACGTGCGTGTTAATGAAATTTTTCCAAACACAGCTGATCTAAATTTATGGCAATTGTCAGTTTAATAATTGAAAGTCGCTCAATTTACACAAAAATTGACATCAAAAATTAACATCGGCATTTTGCGGTAGTTTCTCTTATCAATTCGTTGATAAGATTGTTTTGTTTTAGTACTTTCCACAGAATCATGCTTTTAAAATTTTAAGTAGCAGTAAGATAATATTTATGCGATAATGCAACTACAGTGCAAACCCCAGTACGGTCCTCTTACGGTAAGCATCAAGATTACAGATTACAGAATATCCTAGGGACTGGTGTATCCAGATTGTCTCTGATAATCATTATGAAATGAGGGTGAAGCCATGATTGGCTCCCTGAGATGACATGCGCTTCCGTTTCACATTACTTTTAATTATTGGATCCCAGTCGTGGCCCTGAAAAATAATGAAATTGTTCTTATCTTAAACCCGACGTCTTGGAAAAATTCTCCTAGCAGCAATGGCCACACCGGTGAAATTATGGTAAAGTTGCATAAAACTGGTGGAAAAGGCTGAACAATTAGAGCAAGGGCTTATCTTTCCCTGGAATTGTTTGTCAAGTACACAATGTGAGTGCAGGGTGCAATTTAATTTCCATTTTATCATCAGAAATTTCAATTAGGTTCAAATCTTTGCGGATACGTGGTGGGCAGGTTCGTGCGTCACCATCATGCTCCCAAACTTTATATGCCATGAATATTAAGCAGCTCTCTTTTGCAGCATATTTCGGTAGGGTAGGCTACAATTAGTTCAGTAACCACAAATATGAGAATTTTCTGTTTGATCAAGATACAAGAGCTTTATTTCTGAATGGTGCTAAACCGAAACTCTCCTTGTGTCTGGGTGGCCATGTCTGGCATGTGGAAAGTTTGCGCTAAAACTTTTACTATTGGCTAGTTACTGCTTTCATTAAATACTGTGGAAGTTGTGTTAGGTGATCATAGTGAGTGGCCCAGCACTAAAAATAGGTTATTGATCGCGTTTGCCACAACGCAAATGTCACCAGTTACAGTGACCAGTTTTTCGAAATTATCTTTTTACTTGACATTTTAGAATCATCTTTTAATTTTTTTTATTTGAGTCAACTTACGAGATATTTTTGCATATCAACCTTCATAAATTATCATTTTCATTTAAAATGAGAATTGTTATCAAGCCTAATTTTGTTTTTGTGCCTGCCCGAGTATTTGCAAAATATTCGGGCAGGCAAACTTAAAGTCGGTACTTGTCGGAAAAATTCCAAACATGATCTCCCTTTATCACCATTTTATTCACGATATATTTATTCGACTTTCAATAATTTTATTGTTTTCATCTTATCTCTAGCAATTACTGATCAGTTCCTCTTCCAACAGGCAATGATTGGGATGAGAGCACGGAAGTACTTTGCAAATGCTTGCACGAAGGAAAAGTCACAAAACATCTTCTTCGAGTACTTTCTACCAGCTTCACAGGTCAGTTTTCCTTTTTCTAATTTCTCGAATTCTTCAGTGATATGTGTTTGTCAAAATGGAAACTTTTCTTTGTGGTTTTAAGTCTTAGTTTATGATTTCTTCATTTTTTGACAACTTTTTATCTTCCAGGTGATAGCAATTGGACACCCCTTCTTACACTATCAACCAGGAGCATACTTATCCCAATTTAGTATCATCGGTTACATCCTCATTGGAATCATCTTCTTAGTTCTAGGTATGTTTCCTACGTCATTTATAGGTATATTTATTTGTATAGTTCAGTACATAGGTCATTCATAAATTAAGTTTAAGACCGCCAACTTCCCCCTGATGATTTTACCATCAAGTCTGATTTTTTTACTTAACATTATTCAATGCGTATTATTTAATAATCAAGAAGGACTCGTCCTTTGTCTGGTAAAATTTAGCATCATATTATATAAGATCATCAGTAATAAAAACAAAAAGAACTGAAAAAACTCTATTCTTTCCCGTACTTTCCATATGGAATAGCCGCGTTATCATTTTTCTCATAAGATCATCTGACGATAGCTTCTTTTTACCCCCGGTGATCTTATAGCGAGATAATAACTTTTAAGACTGGCCACACAATCAAGCAGCGAATTTCCGAATATCTTTAATTAAGTTGGTCCAGGACTAACTTATTACTTATTCTTTGGAAACCTAACTAACTCTTTTATAACCCCGCAGGTCTAAAATTGAAGTCGGATGAGATTAAGGACGCAATGAGAAGTGCGCATGTGTTTGTCGTGGCTATCATCTCCAGTCTTTTCATTACGGGATCCATAGTGGCGGCCATCACTAAGGAGGTTAGTTGAGTTTGAACTTCTGCCAGACCGAGGCGGATGTTGGTTACTGGCCAATTTTTTTGTTACTTCTTTCGACAAATACAAAACTCGTGGACTGATACCAAACATATTCCATACCGCACATATGGTTCTCTGAGATTTCTCAGCATAAATTCTCGGAAAATTACTATCAGAATTACTCTCGGAAAACTATGCTCGATTTTTGTCTTTTGATGTCTTAGCAATTAGACTTACAGCGGTCAAAAGCCCTTAATGTCAAAGCAAAAGAGCGTTATATTTATTTAAAACTTTCTTTTCGTCTACCGCGTGCCCTTTTTCTCACAACAATGCTGAAAATCCGGTTAAATTTAACTATCAGTTATTAAATAAGCAAATTAAATAACGTGTTAAATGATGACCTAACGTTTATTTCTCTTTCAGCTACCATACGATCCAATGGGAGCAGAAGAGAAGATTTCGATGTTCGGACCCTACGAGTTCAGAATAGGACTCCTTCTCTACTACTCAGTTCCGTGCACGATCACTGCTGGCATCGTCCTTGTCGCTCAAGCTGAAGGAAACCTTCCCATGGCCGGAGCTATCGCCACCGTCGCTAATGTTATCGGCTGTTACACTACCCCCATCCTTCTCAAACTCTTCCTTGCTAATTGTGAGTTCGCTATTTACTTTTCCACACATAGATTTTCTTTTTTATAATACACATAACTACCTAATTTATTCCCATCTTAAAGCCCTCTGACGGTTTGGACGGTTTGCTCTCATGATATATCGAAAATTAGGGACCGTATTCACAGTTCAAAACCTTGGTGTCTCACCTGATCACTGAAAAATATCGAATGATAATTATTATTTTTCTTAAGAAGGGAGAGGAGTTGTACTTTTGATCTATTGTCCAATAATCATATTAGACGTTGGCTTGATACAATTTTTTCCGCGAGATACGACAGACATTATGCCATTTGATAAGATTACCATCTAGACGAAGGGGTCATAGTTGGGAATTGTATCGGAGTATTAGAGGTATTAGGGACGAGGTTATATACTGAACCGAGTTGATAATAAATTTATTGAACATGATTACTCTGCGAAATGAAGAAACCCATAACCAGTATTGTAGAATGTTTCACGTTTACCCACTGCTGTGAAATTCATGTACACCTATACGGTTGCATAATTATCAGTACCCCATTTCATTTGCCGAATAAGTTGGAAGAATTAAACTTAATTTTAAATCGGAGTTGCGTATGGAGCGTATAACGTTAACTTTTCGCATACATCCCACCAATCGTCTTCCTTAATCTCAAACTCTTTGATATGCTGGTAAGTTGTAATGGCTGAAAAGTTTAAAACATTTCCTGATAACGTCTAGCACTGGTTAGTAGAAGGGCAAGGAAACTTTACGGTCAAAATTTACACACACACTACATGAAACGAGTAACACCAGTGACAGTTCTAATTTTAACATTTTGATTAGGAATACTGACCAGCTAATCATTTCAGTGGACGCCAAATTTGACATCGCTGGAGTCCTGATAAAGCTGACCTGCTCGATTCTCCTACCTGTGATCGCAGGAAAACTTCTGCAGCTCATCCCACATGTGCCTCAAACTGTTAGCCGTTTCAAGAGATGGATTTCCGTTGTCACCAGTACCTGTCTCGCTATCATGCTGTGGATGAAGGTAAGCTATACTACCCTGCCCAAATCACTACAACCATCCAACCACAAATAGAAAATAAAATTTTACCCCCAATTCTTTCGAAACAGAAATTTGTGGCTCGTAGAATCGTTGTGTGTACTACAACATATCATTTAACGTTATCTTACCTTCCAGGTTTCCAAAGCAGTACAAGACAAAGCATTTGACGGTGTGAAATGGCAATCTCTTCTCGTGCTGATCGCCTTCGTACTGGTAATGTGCTTGATCAACATCTGCGTTAACTCTGCTTTCTCCGTCCTGCTGTGTCTGAGAAATACCTACATTAAAGTCATGCTTCTTATGGTATGTTCATTTCTGTTTTTGGTTAAAGTGTCGATGATTTATGATTGATTCCTTGTTATACATTTATTTGTTGCGAATAGATTGGATTTTACTGGTTGATTTGGTCTGATTGGACCCAAACCATACATTTTATGAAATTAATTTATTCATATTTTACAGGTCAGCCAGAAAACTTTGGTTATGGCGGTAACGCTTGTCCAAGTCTTGCCTGAAACTCTTGGAGAGATGGGACTTATCCTGGTGCCATGCTTCGTTGCCCATCCCACTCAGGTAACTAACATCATTTAGCTTCTATAGATATCTCCCTGTTTTTTTACTATCTCCTTAGTCCTTAGTTCTGATTGAATTGCGTGTAGACTGTAGATTTCATTTTGATTACAAATTTTGTCCAATCATACATGATATTCATATTTCTTTTTTTCAGATCTTAGTATTCAGTTTCATTGCTCCACAACTGAAGAACCATCCCTTCGACTTCACCTGTCCACGATGGATGCCAACCAGGGTAATTGCCATGTGCGAGTGGTTGAACCAAAACAACAAGGGCGTGCAAGACGCAGAGAAGCAAGCTGAAGTGATAGCAAACGGTGCTGCAAACGGCGCTGTCATCAAAGATCAGCCGGATAACATGACTGACGTTGTCATTGTCAATGGTAATGGTTTCCATAACAACAACAACGGACAAAATTCGTAAAACTCACAATGCTCACACTGAGTAAGGAAGTATGGAGACCAGTAACTTAGCTGTCCAGATTCGTTTATTTATTTTCAGAGAGACACGATTAAGTGCATGAATTTAAGATCTAAACCCGGGTTGGAATTCAACATAAAGACTCTTATAGTCTTATCAAAGTCTAAGGCTATCGAATTGTTAATACAGAATAAGAAAATGTAGTTGATCAGTCAGGATGAAACTGGGGCAATATAGCACACATACAATTCTCTGTCGCGAGTCCAGGTCGACTTTACCAATGTGGTGGCTAGTAGCCTGTGTCCGTGACTGACAGACGTTTGTGTTTTATATTGCCGAAACATATCCAATTCCCATTGATGTTGTGATTTATTCCGACTTCGGCCAGATTTGAATCACAGGATCACTGGCAATAGTATGTGTCAGAATTTCTGGGACTTGTATCAACTACGCGTAATCTTGACGGATGATACCCGTCTAAATTATTCGAAGTAGCGCACGCCGGTCAGTCCATCAACAAAGGACAACGTATAATGAAGGAATTATAATAGTAAACAACGAGATTTAAAACACTTGGCCACTTTATTTGAGTACTTTGGCGTTAACTTTTAAAATATTTTTACGATTTTTACTTTACACAACAAAGAATTGATTGCATTTATAGCTCGGAGAGCATTGAATCTCCTTTTATATTATGTGATTGAGTGTCAATGTCAGTTACACCCGACGACACTATTGAGGCATGTTATACAGTTTAATTTTATCTGAAGATATCGGTTTATTGCCGCCAACATTGATGTTGAACAATACGGGAATTTTAGTCAAACTTACGTTTGACAACCCCCTTGTTTTGAGAAAGGCGATATTCTCTTGACCTCCAGGTTGTCTTTGGGCCTCCAGGTTGTCCTGGGGCCTGACGCCTTTCCGACATGTGATTGGGAGGATTTGCATGGAGGTTGAGAGATAATCTTGAGAGTTTCAAAACAGGCGCATGACATAGATATTGAGTCTATGTTTAAAGAGGCCGGGGGTTCCCATTTCTAATGGTATTTATTCTGCTTTGTTGTACTCGTTGCACTTCTGCAACCTACTAAACGATAAATTGATCGGTACCAATTTTACGGTACCTTATTAATGAAGTTATCATTTTTCATTTCCCATAGGCCGCGAATAGTGTTAATTTGTTCTGACTACCAGATTACAAAGAATATTCAATCAGCATGTTATTGCGACCTTGTGATTCGATTTTAATTGATTTAAATTTATTTACTGTGTTTCCTTTCGTTCAGTTAACTTCTACAATAGGGCCTTCTAATTTTAATTTTATTACTAGCCATATATGGACTCTATCCTCCTGTATTTCCCAGACTGAACCAGGAATTTGGATCACAATTAATAGACCTAGACATACTAAAAAGCAATTTATCGACCACACAGGCAAATCCGCCCTAGATAAAGATAGAATTAGACGGATAAGTACAGAACTTCAGTGCACCTAATGTCATTGACTTACTGTGGTGTTATAAAGATTTCCTGTTGCTGAAAAGAATTTCCCTTTCTCATGGTACATCCACCAGGGCTAGATTGACGGATCGGATGAAGGTTTTTGTAATCCGTAAATCCAGCGCTAGTGCATGTCCCATGTTTGAAGAAGAGGAAGTATCAACTCTTTCCAACAACATTAATACTCAGAGAGTAATATTTTCACGGCCATCAAAGTAGGGTTCCCAATTTTCCTTCTGAATTTAATACTTAAAGTAAACAATTTCTTCTCATAATAAAAATGTTCTTCTCAACATTCATTCATTCATTTTCTTCTTTTCCCTTATTCCCCGACATCCTCTTTTCCTATGGTTGCCACATTTCTGTTACATCCTACATGCTATCCTTTTTTAGGCCAGCTTCTCGGGGGTAAAGGACCAGTTACTGTAAGTGTAACTCAGTAAGCCCGCTGTATCGTTAATATTATTTGTGCCTATAATTGACTGACTCTTTTGAGGCGGTGCAGATGGTCTTCTAAACGGACTTTATTAATTTATTATACAGTAAAACCCCGATTTACCATTTCTTTCCACTTTTCCTTAAAAATGTTGATTATTTGGAATACTAGAAATAGATGGGTCCCTGATCTCAAAAGCTTGTCAGGCTAACCACTAATTGGAAACCAATTCTGTACGGAGAGAATTAACGTGTTATACTCGTAAAATATTTGTTCCAAAGACTGTCGACTAGTTCAACTTCAACTGGGCGCACGTCTTGGTAGGTTATAAACCTACAACTACAAGGAGAGAAACGATGTGATCCGACGGAAACTCCAAAGTAGATTCCCCGATTGACCGTACACTCTAGGCCTAATTTAGCATAGTCAGTAGTATAGCTTACTACTAATACAATGTATTTCCTTTCCCCCCAAACTTTGGGGCTGGGTGACGGTGATCCATAACTTGTTTCATTTTTTCAATTCTTGTTTGATTTATGATTAAAAACACTCAGTTTGCAGTTACTGGACTTTATTTGAATGGACGTACGTGGACGTTAATTCATTGGAAGCATGAGGCTGAGCATATATGAGGCTTTATACGCTATAGCGTTCATTTTAATATCCGTTCAAATTAAGTCTGTGCGTTTGCGGTCCGTCCAACTCCAAGTAAAAGCCCCTTGAAATTTTGTCCCCAGAAGTATTCAGCTAGCTACGAACTTATTATATCCATGATAAGACTACTTTTTAATTTCGGTCAATTACAATTTTTATCATCGGACTAAATTGTAAGTTAAAATGTTTAATTTTACTGCTTAATGATTGTTTTTTTCTTTTTTTTGTTTTCAAAACATTTTAACTTTAGCGAAATTGTTATGCGAAAATGGAAAGTAAATGTAAAGTTGGACGTGTATAGGTTTAACGTGTCGGTGTATAGCCATAGGCATAGGTTGAACCTGTCAGTACGACGTACGTGTCAGTGCCACGCACGAAAACAAAAATGAAACGTGTGGCCACTGCAACTCACGTGCTGTCGCTGCACGTGAATCAGAAATTGTTTTCTGATAGTGATAGGGTTTAACTCTAAGTAGAAAATAACACGTACTGGAAATCAAATTATTACAGAAGAGGTGAAATACCAAGCTTTAGCTAGCAAGACTTGCGGTTGCAGAACTTGAACTTGACGAATGAAGATCAAAGACAGAACCAAAAATAAATAACCTTTGCTGTTTGCACTTTAGAGTTAATCTTTTCATTGCTCCTCAGTGTTACTAAGCAGTAAGTGTTGTTTGGTACTGTCTGAGTCTCACGAATACGTTCTGTCAATGATCGTGTTCTTCTTTTACTGATGAAACTGCCTTACATGGGGGAATGCGGAATCAGTGTTCAAAAACACATGAAAGGTTCGTTCACATATTATGATATTACGTAATCAGCCGAAGGGGGTTTACAGTTGATTACGGGGGGGGGTGTTTGGTCGTTGATTCACGATGTCAATCCTTCCAGATCGTTGCTCTGCAGATCAGTGGCGTAACGCATTCCAGCTTCACGTGGCACAAGACAGGAATTTGCATTGACCATTGTTAATGATCTGGCCGGCGCGCGCTACTTCGTAGCACTTGACATCGGGCAAGTATCATTTCGAGAAGAAAGCGGCGCGCGTTACTTCGAAGAAATTTAGACGAGTAACACTAACATCCGTCAAGAATTTGCAAAGTTAAACTTAATTTGAACTTTTCCTTGACAGGGTAGCTTGGGAAAATAATTTTAAACCCAATTTGATTCACGATGTCAATCCTTCCTTGTATTGTAGTTGTACTGTAGCGCGATGCGTTACTGTGCCGCGCCGCGCACTCAATTACATGCTTCTCTCAACTATGCTCCTCGCAATTATGCTCCTCGCTTACCTGAGGACCCCAGGCTTTAATGTTGGTAACGAATAGAGATTAGGCGGAATGACAGGCTGAGCGCGGCCCAGTAACTCCTCGCTAGATCGGCGAGATGCGCTAATGTGCCTCGCGCTAATGTGCCTCGCGCTACTGTGCCTCGCGTGATTGCAGCAGTTAGTAGCACAGGAGGAGCAAAGTGCAAAGAAACTGCCACAAACTGCTACAAACTGCTACTAACTGCTACTAACTGGCACTAACTGCTACAAACTGGCACTACCTGCCACAAACTGCTACTAACTGCTGCAATCGCGCCCACGCATTCGCGCGCCGTTCGCGTTTGTAGCAGTTAGTTTGTAGTTATAGTAGCAGTTTGTGGCAGTCAGTGCCAGTATGTAGCAGTTAGTTTGCTTTAACCAGAGCCCTCTCGCTTGTACATTCAACTTGTGAAACAAGCGCGTCACGCAGTACGCGTATACACATGGCTATGTGAAGCAGTTAGTAGCAGTTAGTAGCAGTTTGCACTTTGCCCATCCTGTGCGGAGTGGATAGCCTAGTCATGATCTATGACTATCCTATAGTGATAAAACAAATAATGACCACAGTCTCCTGCGAAGAAGGAGAACCTGAAAATCCGATCGTTGGGTTCAGTTGTCGTATTTCAATTCTATTTCCGATTTCGGTGCATTTGTGATATGACCTGGGTTCAGTTGTCGTTTTGGGGTTTAAGCTGATTGTGTCACCCAATTGAACTGATTGGATGCCTGTTAAGTGTTAACTGCGTGGGAACTAGGTTCAATTAGGTTCAGTTGTCGGTCACCCGAACTTTTACTTGGCACAAAATAAAACTTCTCGCGATAAGGGGTCGATTTACATATTACGTAATCAGATGAGGGGGTTTTCCAAATGATTACGCTAGTTTAATTTTGACACAATAGCTATGTGTAAAATTACCTGAGGACCCCAGGCTATTATGTTCATTAACATAAAGATTTGGCGGAATGACAGGCTGAGCGCGGCCCAGTAATGTGTAAAATTGATTACGGAGGGGGGCTGGGGGTATAAATTTTCCAACAAATTATTACATAATATGTGAACGACCACTCACTTAATAAATCTACATTGTCTCAAATTTTCCTTCTGGAGAGGAAACATTTTATTACGAAGCGAACATTTTGCAGAAAACCGGAAGTTTCTATCATTTTTACTTTCTGAGATAGGCCCCAGTTTGATTCACGATGTCAATCCTTCGCAGCTCGGTGAGGCCCAGTGGTGCATTTTGCCGATCTACCGAAGTGGTTGCGAGAAGAATTATTTGATGCGCGGCGCGGCCCAGTAGTGCATCGCGCTACAAGGCCCCATGGTCAGTAAATGGTAAGGTTTTCAAAGTATTTTTTAGTTTTACTGCATCAAAAATATCAATCATTGGAGGACTTCGCCGCTTTGACGCGCCGCGCAAACTAGCATTCTTGCTTCGTCGATCGTTGCTCTGCTGTCTGCTTCGCAGAGAAACGATCTCGATGGGTTGATACCGTCAATCAAATCAATCACAAATCACCAATCACACTCTGCACTTACGGCTAAAGTTATGGTGTGTCATACAGCGTAAAACATAAAAGTTTATTTAGCTTGCTAATGTTTTTTCAGGCTCCGCATCTGGCGGATGATGCACAATGCAGATAATTATTCACTCTACACTCGACTGTCACGTGACTTTTTCAACTCGTTCTCTAGCTGGCCCTGAACGACTATTCGAAACCCTTACCCTCTAATCTGATCTGATACCTAACCTTAACGGGTGATACTCGACTCTTAAAATATTTGTTCCATATATATTGTCGACGAGTTTCACATAGCCATGTGTCTACGCGTACTGCGTGACGCGCTTGTTTCACAAGTATAATACGTTTTGCCGCCTTCGGCGGTCGCGCGCTACTGCAAGCGAGAGGCTCTGGTTAAAGCAATCGACGAGTCCAACTCGGCGCGCGTCCTGGTAGGTTATAAACCTACAACCTTAATTGACGATGTCATGTCAATTCATGGCAGCTCGGCGCGGCACAGTAGCGCATTTCGCCGATCTAGCCGATCTGGCAGCTCGGCGCGGCACAGTAACGCATCGCGCTACAACCTACAACCCTAACCCTTACCCAATCCTTAACAAAAGCATTTGTAGGTTTACAACCTACCTTACTGGGCCGCGCTCAGCCTGTCATTCCGCCAAATCTTTATTCGGCGGAATAAATATTTATGTTAATGAACATAATAGCCTGGGGTCCTCAGGTAACAACCTACCAGGACCCGCGCTGAGTTGGACTCGTCGACGGTCCTGTAATATATGGAACAGATATTTTACGAGTATCACCCGTTAACAAAAGCATATGCTGAAACCCTAACCCTAATG